AAACTTTTCTGAACTTCATCATCGTTAGCTCATAATTTCAGTTATGTTGCATAAATTTGGTATCAAGTACGACGTCAGCTTATACTTGATGCTTCTGTTTCTATTCTGCGGATTCTACACGGTAACATTTGCTCAAGCGTATAATGAGGAGCTGATATGGCAACACCTAACACCGAAGGAACGACAAAACTTTGAAGCATTTCCAGATTTCTTCAACAAAAAGCCTAGGTTAGCATTCTTTTTTCTATCGTTATCTCATCGCTGTCGTTGGCCAAAACCAAATCTGACAAAATTTTGAAACAAACACTTTCTCTCCTCACGCTACACAGCTTTCACAGTTAATTTGACTAAACTTCTCAGGTTTTTTTTCTATGTTTTAAATAATTATTATTAATTCTCTTAAGTGCTGCTTCAGTTTCTAAACATTTTATAGTTATAGTTGCGAGAAATTTTAAATATAATTTAATTTTAAAAACATTTTTTTGCATGTCAATTGTTGAAAAACCAAGTTTTTCTCTATTCTCTCTCCTCAAAGCGGTAGTGAAGTCAGCTGCTGTAATTGGCGACATTTAATAGACATTTTTCAACAAGAAAATTTTTGTTCAAAAACCGACTCGTATTTTTTGTCGAATATTGGAAAAAATTAAATATTGGGCTTGTAAGTCACCAGTCTGCTTAATTTTTATTCAGTCAGGAAGATTCTAGGAAAACTTATTTTTCTCTTCTAATTTCTTGCAGATTTAATATTGTCAACTAATTTTTTGAGAAATTTTTGTTTTTTTTACTGGAAATTTTAGACATTTAAAATTTAACAAACTCATCGTTGTAATCAAGATATTTTTTAGCGTTCATTGCGGTAGGTTTACTCTCAGATGGAAATGCTAAAATTTCAAAGTAATAAACATTCATACGTGTACAGTATCAATAAGTGGTCAACTAGGCTTTTTCCAATTTATCTATTATAATGAGAAAAACTTCAATTGTTGTCAATCAACCCTTCAGTCAATCAAATTATAAAATCAAGACTTTGTTTCTCCTGATGCCTTTAAAAACTTATACGACTTCTGAAGACCTAATGAAAATTGACCAAACTGCATAATATGATTACAGATACCTTTTGATAACAAAATATTAAAGCACAAAGAACTTTTGAATACAAAATGTTGTAAAAAAAAATAAATTAATACAACTGTATTCAGTTTTATTGTCTGATGAGAAAAATCTTAGAAAAATTTTTTTATTCAAAAACTTGCAGCAAAAAACTGCCGAATTTTGATCCAATTGTTATGAAAAACTAAAGAATCTTTTTCTTCTGGTAAAACCAAATTTGCACTAAATTGGATTGCTAAATCATTAAAAGTTTTGCTATTCAATGCTATTTCGAAAAAAAACTTTTTTGTGACATTTGCATTACTACAACAAAAAGTTTTTTGAACAAGAGAAAAAAAAAAGAAAAAAAAAACAAATCCCAAAGAACTGTTCTTTTTTTTAAAGAAATTTTTGACAGCAAGTGAATTTTTAATTTATAAACAGAATAAGTAGGAAAAAAATTGAAAAAAATTTTTTTTTAGTCACATACAGCATTATTGAAGCTCAATTTCCGTGAAACGAAATATGCTTGAGCTTTTTTATGTTTTTTCCATTTTTCTCATCATTCTTAAAAGCGCAGTTTGTTGTCAGTTTCCTTTCTTCCTTTTTTTTTTAAAAAATCAAAAAAACAAGAGATGAACAACGATATTTTTCGCTTTTTTTATTTCTCTTCTCAAATTTATCCTTAAAAAAATTTTTTTTGTATGGATATTTTATTATATTGTTATTTAAAGAAAAAGAAAGTTGGGAGAATGAGTAAACAACTAAAGCAGTGTTATGGGTGGGTAGTTGTGTTGATGACATAGATCAGATAATAAATAAACCTAATCAAACTAGTTATTTTTCTTCTCTAAAATTTTTTTACTCAAACTATACTACGAATCTCTCAGACAATCTCGCCTGATTTTTATCCTGCTATTTTTCCATTCTACTTGTCTCTATTGGCGAAATTGGGGGTAAAATGGGAACGAAATGAGTGTATCTTATTCTTTTGAAGAAACAAAAAGAAAAAATGAAGAGACTTATTGCAAGAATTAAATGATACGTAAAAACTTAGCAATATCGCTTGGTTTTTAACTTAGCAAGCATGCTGCTAAAACAGCGACAACGAGAAAGGATACAACTGGATGCACTCAAATTGGTTAAGATATTCAGTTTCATGCACTGACGCTGTGGCCAATTATCAGTTGCATTCACTGCATTCTGTGATGTTGTTTTAGCTGCCGTAATATCGTGAAACTTTATCACTGAACAACCTCATCAAGCAACTAAATCATTATGATCTCTCATTTTCGGTCGACCTAAAAGCCCAAAGGATTTAGCCAAGTTATTTCAACATTGCTTCTAACAAAAAAATCGGCGAAGAAATAGATGAGACAAAGTTTTTGAAAGACAAGAAGTATTGCATTGCTCCTCCACCTCTTTGACTCGTACCTCTTTTCCTCTTCAAAGAAGCACACGGAATAGCAGTAACCGACACTGATCTCCTCATCATATTTGGCAACTTTTTTTGGTTCAAACTTCAAGTAGAATAAGATTTTTTTTTCCTCCTACTTCTTCCTTTTTACACACCGTAGTTTTCTTATTGTCAGTTCGGTAACAGTCACTCCTCCAAACAACTACACCAAACAAAACTTCTAATGTGGTTTTAAATATCTCGGAAACAGGGATTAATTCACACGTATGTAAGCAGCATTTAGAAAAACTAAAAAAGTTTAACATTTCAAGCTCAATGAAACGAAAAAAAGCGCTTTTTTAGTGGAACAAAAGGAGGTAATGTTCATATAAATACAAGTTAGTTGCTATTTCAGGAAAAAAATTGTATTTCATACGCCAGTCCGGTTTTTTCATATTCATTTGTAATTGGCGTTGGTGACGGATGAAGAATCCAATTTACTCCTCTTGACATGAACAGAACCATTTATTTCCGGCGCTCTTGAAAAAAAATGCCTTCTAATCTCCAAAAGATTTCAAAATTTTTGATTTCCCTTGCTTTATTCAACTCCTCCAAAACGCTACTACTACAGCTGCTAAAATTACCGTTCATGTAAACCAAAAATTTGGTTCTGCTTAATACTATGAATAATCGAACAGTTTTTTTTTCAATAACAATATTTCCCCTCTTTGGAGAATGCGAAACATTAACAAAATAGAGACGAACAGAACTTTTTCAATATATAAATTATAGACGTTTAAGCAGCTTCATCAATTAATGATAAATGCAGTGAAGAAGTAATAATAAAAATACTTTTGAAAAGTATGAAACATTTTTTGACTCAGTGAACAGCATCACACAAAACGCCTATCAAAGTCCATAACATTTCAATAAAAATAATTTAACTACAGAATTTCATCTTCTTTCAAAACACATTAAGCGTGACATCAGTAAAGAAAAGACTCAACTTCTTTTCTGAGATGCAGTGACTACCAACCTCATTCAAATTACACAGTTGTATGAATTCAAAGTATGCTGAGTGCACCGGCTTTTGGATTGAAACAGTAAAAATCCTAATCTAGGTTTTACAAAAAATGTAATAAATGTCACAGTGATTATTTTTTTTAAAAACTGTAGAAGCACATAAAACTATCAAGTTACTTCATTAGCCAGTCTAAATTCGCACAGAATCTCTGTACAATAGCATCATCACCACCCGTTTTCTGTAAATGCATAAGAATTATTCTGTGTTTTAGTTTCTACTGCAGAAAACCGCTTTGACCTACTTTCTTTTTTTTTGCAGAAACCGTCAAGTATATGGACGTCTAGCCAGCCTTCTGCAACTACGAGATATGAGACAAGATAACGTAAAAAGGGGTGCTGGTAACGACAATATGCAAAACTGTTTTCTCTCTCCCGTCCAGTGCATGTTTCCTTACATGCAAAATAAGTGATCATTAACCTGTTTTATAGCGCTAAAAGCAGTTTACTTGTTCACTGAAAACTGATTTAAAAACGACCTCTTAGCTGACTAAACCCACAATTTGCAACAATAACAAATATTGCACGTACTGTTATCACCGGTCATTTGCTCCAAATAAAATTACGTTAAAAGAAGCTGACATTTATAAATTATATAACTAAAAGTTTTCCGTCACAAACCACTGCAAAGAGTCCAAAAGATTATCATGTAAAAAAGTCTCGTTATTACAAAAATGTTCTTTTAAAGTGCTAAAGATACTAAAATAATTTCTGCAGTTGCTAAACGTTTCAATCTCAACTGTCTGAACCGAAAGTAAAAAACGTCTAAAAGTAATAGAATTTATTGCGCTTATAAACATCACTCATGAAATGTAAATCCAAGGAACAACATAGAGTGGAAAATATTCTCATGTAGCTTTTGTCAGGTAAGATCAGCACCCCCTGATGCAAGAGAAATGTAAGCTGCATTTGGTTCACTAGTCTCGTTCTAGCTTACTCAAAAACTTTGGATACACAAACGAAAGCGATTAACACTGCAGTGGAAACGATTAGAAAGAGCCAAAATTATGATTCATGACTCATATTGCAAAGCAACTGTGAGACCAATCGAGATGAATACTGAAGCTAAGCTCACTGCTGCGGGAGGGAATCGGGTGCCGCCATCTGACAACTGGCAATAGCTCTTGAAACTTGTAGGTCCGTTCTCAAAAAAAGTAATAATAGTATACCTTTTAAAATAGTGCTAATTTCCTAACATAGTAGTATAACACAGTACAATAAGAATATGGTGAGGATGAGTCAAGAGGTTGCTAAAGATTGAGAGATGGAAATAGAAAGAAAAAAGCAGCAGGATCTGGAAGAAAAGACGAAGGTTAAGTTCTTTTGCAATTAAATGTACAAAGTCAGTACTATTTTAAAAAGTATACTGCTTTTTATTTCTTGAGAACGGACTCACATTTTCCGAGAGCTAATGCTAATTGTCAGATGGCGGCATCTAACCCGCAGTAGGGAGCTCAGCTTCACCATCCATTTCGGTTGGTCTCATAGTTGCATTTGCGTATGAGTCATGAATCACAGTTTTAACACTTTTTAACTGTTCCACTGCAATGCTAAACGCTTTCGTTTGTGTATCCAAATTTTTTGGATAAGCTAGAATGAGGCTAGTGAACCAGATGCGGCTTATATTTCTAGAGCATTAAGGGGTGGTAATCTTACCTAATACAAGCGGTATGAGGATTTTTTCAACAGTCTGTCGTTCCTCGGGTTTACAGTTCATAAGTGTCGTCTCTGGGCGCAATAAACTTTAGAGCTTCTAAAGGTCTTTAACTTCAATCGAAAAAAATAAGCTTGAATATTCCGGACGTTGCAGAAATTATTGACAACCCTGCAGCTCCAGAAAGATACATGAAAAGCTACAAATATACGACACGTCCTCTGTTGAAACTGTCCTGAATCTGTTCAAGAGTATCAACCAGCACACTATCGAAGAACAATTCTTCAAAGTCGTCCCGTCCTAACAAAAGAAAGCTTTCAAAATCAATCCCTTCTTTTTTTAACACACTGGCTGTTTCAATGCCACAGCGTTCCACTATCATTTCCCAACAGTCAGCTAAAAAAAATCCCAGATACTAAAAGACAAATCACCTCAAAAAGAGAAGTAAAAAATTCCACTCAAACATGATTTCAGAATAACCAATTGTAGTTGTTTCAAAGGAAACAAACATTTTTCTTTTTCAGTTGCTGCACCACTCGATTCTGGTTTTGCCGCAGAAATATCACTGAAAACTACCACAATTTTACAGGTAAACCAAACTTTAAAAGGAAAACTGTGTTTGATAAGTAGGTAGATTTTGAACATCGACCTCATACCTGGCAAAAAAACTAGCCAACAACACTTCCACTATTATAATACTTATCTTAAGACTTACTTCAAGGAATTAAATTGAAAAATAGAACGTCGAAGTTCCGAAATGCTTTCGAGCAGTTCGCTATTCGAATCTGGCTTAAAAAGCGCTTCTTGCTTCTTCACCTCAGAAATCGCTTTGGAATTCATCAATGGCAAATACTTCTCCACAAAACTGCCCTAACAAAGCAACTGTTATATTCCTTTCTACAGTCACCATTCTAATACTACTCTTTTCTTAGTGCTCACTGATAACACCTGTACGGTTAGAAGTGAGAGTAGCAAAAATAACGTCAAATGCATACTAGGTATATCTAACCATACGTCCAGGTTCTTTGAAAAAGCATAACTTTTATAGCAACTGTCCTTTAAAAAAAATTGAAGTTCAAGTAAGCTTCAACATCTTTACCATAGCAGACTCTTGTTGACTTGTGTAAACCTTCCGCTCAGTTCCACCTCTAGATAAGTCATGCGGACAGTTAAGCAGATGAAAGAGTACCGGCGGTATCCTGGAAGCGTAGGGACCCAAAGTTCTTACAACTTTTTCCCTAAACCCTAATCTGTCAGTGAGTGTGCTTTTCGAGCTGCAGTTCCTAAGAATCTAGAAAAAAATAATTTAAAAAAAGAACCCGTGATTACAGAGCTATTAATCAGATACTTCGTAATTCAAGAATAAAAAAATTAAACAATAGCACCCAAATAAGTAAGTTTAAAAAGTAAACCTTTTTTTTTTGAAAGATTCTTAGAAATTTTCCAATGAAGTCTTCTCGTTCAATTAATTCGACGCGGTTATGACACGGATTACTGAGACCTAAAACAACACGTTGCTTTTACATCTGTAACACAAAAATCAAAGTACAAAAATATTTAGGAGAAAATAATTTTAATGCAAGTGTTCTTGATCACCCAAAGATTCTTACTGTTTTTGGTAGACTTCCTACCACAGAAATATTTGAAAACCGCCTTATTCCTGCAAAAAAAGCTTTTTTCTGAAAATACAAGCCAACAAAGTAAATGCAAAATGTGGCAAAAAAAAAA